GGCTTGAACGATCGTTGCTGTTTGCGCAATACGACGGGATGAAATGTGGAATTGAACACAGTGAGATTGGCAGAGCGAATGATGCCTACAATTGTGCAATCAAATCCACGGAGCTGAAGCCCTGCAAACAACTTGAAATGTGGTAGAACCCGAGAATATGCAAGTCAATCCAAGGGCACGGGGCGATGAGTGTTATTTATCTCCTTGGCCTCCATTACAGGTATGCTGGGGGCGTCACCACGAGAGCCAATCCAATAGAAAGTGCGAATCGATGGCAGCAGAGCATGGGGTAATGTAGTATTTCTAACCGCGTCAGCTCTACCAAACCGGACCTGCGTCATTATGGGCGAATGCTAGGAAACTGACAGAATCAACGCGTGGCGCACGCCGGATTGTTGGTCTATTTAGCCAAAATGTCGTCTCGTCTCGACATGAGCGATGTCTACTCCGTAAGGTGTGTACTATTATTAGTGAAGGTGCCTAACTAGCAACAGGTCTATTGCTACCCGAGCTTTCCTCCACCCTATGTAGTATCTGGGTATTATTTCTCTCCGATCTGATGCGATGTAGGTCTTGGGTCGCTATATTTACAACTACTACTATAAGCATCGCCCTCTTGCTCTATTGTTGCTGTCTTTCGGCTGATTGATGCTGAAAATGCCAGATATTGTTCTGCTAGGTATATATATCGCGTACAGATTTAGGATGTATTTTTTATGTCACAAGATTATCGATCTTAGCGGACGTCATTGGGTTGTGTGCCTGAGGGGATGCGAGGGCCACCATATTGGGATTCACAAGCATTACCCTTTACGCGTGCAATTCTAACCCATTGGAAATGTTATGATGCGCAATCCCTTGCGAACTATTTGAGTCGATATAATAAGGCCCATGTTGAGCTACATTAAGAGAGTCAGAATTGGTCTGCGGTTGCAAATAGAGGTTGAGTTTCAGCCACGACGGTACAGCTCACTCGGGTGTACCTGATTGTCAGTGTTAGTGTTCCTCTGCCATCATCAATTTGCTCGCATTTTTTTCTCACCCTTTCGTCTGACCCGTCTAATCGTCCATTTAGCTCCCGGTGAATTGCCCTCACAGTTCAAGTCGCCGAGCCGCCCCTCCTTTGGTGTGCTCGTATATTCTAGCCCGGAATACCGGCACCTCGGATAAGGCGGCATTCGTGCTGTAGGATGTTTATTTTGCCTCTCACAGTCAGCTTTGAGCTCCATACTCCGTACCTTTTCGTAGGATTTCGCATCGTCTCCATTTGCAGGGCATTGAATCCGACTCCGCCACACCTACCAGTCGCTCCCTGGGCCATTAACAAGTAGCGGAGCTGAGAAACACGGAAGCTGCCAACAGCCCGACTCCAGCAAAAAATACTACATCGGCTGAGGCGCAACACTCCGGACATTCCTTTGTGCATTTATTAACGGGTAAGAAGCCTTGTAGTTCAATTAATCATTACCTAGGTACGTAATCCGCGAATCTTCTCCATTTCGCTTCTGTAGAATATCGATGCCTTCCAGTGATGGGCTTCGTTTATCTGATCCAAACAGGAGATCAAGCCCCGCATTGGAAGCCTTTGGCAGAAACAGGAGTTTGTAGCCCTTGTATATAGTCAAATAGGTAGTACTCCGTATAATAAGGCGGGAATTGTTTATGATCCATCCTTGCATTGCCAAAATGTATGTATGTACTCTGGCGCTACGAGCCTTTTGTGATTTGTGTCGGGCGGAGCGGCACTGGGAACTGACGCCGGCGTGGGCGGATGGGCGGATAGCGACAGAAAAGTAAGCAGACGGGGCGATCTGCATCGCTGCCGGAGACAAAGACAACATAGGACAAATGCAACATAGACTACTCGGCATCAGATGCTGCTGATCCGATGCAGGTAGCCTAATGTAGCGTTTATACAGCCAAACAGCGATGATACACAGCTAATGTTGCTTTCTTTGTACATAGGCTTCTAGACACAGGTGCCCAGGTAGTGATTGGAACTGAATACATGAAGGTAACAAAACTACTAGTGCGACAGGCCAGTTTCGCCTTCTTGACTATCCTTTCTACATAACCATTGTCCTCTTTACATACTTAGCTAGAATTGACCAACGCCATATCCCATCCATTTATTGATCCAGCCTCCTCTTCTGTTAGCCGAATACCAAAGTAATCCCACAGCGCGTTCAATCTCTGCTGTTCTGAGTCAACCTGCCTGATTACTGTTGTCTTGTTACCCATGTTGAGCTTGACCAGATTATTCACCAGCATCACCTTGCCAACAATGTTTATTTCTTCCTCGTAATTGGCCCCCCGGCCCTCATGCGGATACTCGATTATTTCGCCCTCTCGTAAGAACCTTACCGCCAATACTGTCCATCGATGTAGTGTTTTCGCACTTGCCCACCAATTTTGAACTTCAAAATCTTCTTGAAAGAATTCAACTTCCAAAAAGCTGTAGAATGAATTCCACGGTTTATCTGCGCCATTGCGGTATTGATATATCCATACCTTTGGCTCCAATAACCGTTGTTTCGGAAGCACATCATAAACGAGGCGAACTTCTTGACTACCTAGGTTGCTGTGTATCATGGCATTTTTGTCCATGCGCAGAGGCAGAGTCGGCCCATCACCACCAAAGGCTACATCTGCACTAAATTTAGATCCATCGGGGAGGTGGATAATGTTGTTGATATGAGTCCTTTTTGACGTCGTCCATTGATTTAGAAAAAGAATTGTTACCCGAGCAGAAGTAGTGCAAGAGGACACTTACCATCCTTGAGTCTCTCCTTGGGGCACTCCATTTGTCCGCGTACGATTACGCACACCAGTCATGTATACATGAAACCCGAGTCCCCTCAACATGTGATGAAAGAATATGCTGAGTTCCATGCAATAACCACCTCTACCATTGCTAAGCGCCCCCATCATCTTTCTATATAGTGCATCGGTGTGAATATCGACCAGATGGGTAGGAGAATAATGAACGGAGAGATTCTCATAAGGAAAAGTCGTAACCTGAGCGCGGAACAAGATTTTCAACGATTCTTCTGTTTTTGGAAAGGCCGTTGGCTTGTAAATATATTGTTCATATGATGAGGGTAAGCCAATATGTTGAAGCCATGCGGTGATTTGTGACTCCGAATAAGCCGACTCCTGGGATAACGAGTCCCGGAATGCTTCAAATGCCATTACCATAGATGTAGTAATACCAAGAAGAGCTTGATTCTGCTAATTCCGTCGATTGTTAACGCACAACTGTCTGCTTTTTGTTCTCTTGTTGAGAAGCAATTGAGTCATTAGTGCGCCTAGTCAGCGACAGCGCTTGCTGATGCAACAGCCTGTAGACTCATCATCGGCGATTCATCGGCCTCCTGCATCAGCGCATGTTCCCATGTTCAATAGATACAAATTCCATGATGTGTTTATCTCGCATGATGAGATGGCCAGACGTGAATTATTGTAATGAATTTTTAAATGAATGAAAGTATAATTTTCGAGTAATGCTTTGTGTGCTCTGAGTTGAGGCCAGCAGATATTCGAGAAGAAGAAGGAAGTAGAATAATCACCTCCGTACTTTGAAAGGCGACGTAATTGGTCAATACGAGAAGTCTTAGAATCGAAGGTATTCGTAACTGTACGTAAACCGAGAATCCAAGGAGTGAGAATAAACTACGCCCGAATATCAGGCTAACGCAAGGCGCAATAAACGATCGAAGCCATCTCGGCATCATACCGGTAAATTTCGATGGCCATGATCAGACACAGGTCACTTATTAACATCTGATACTAATGCGATGAGGAAATCATCTTCTTGAAACTTACCCTAAGAGCTTGTGCTTTAGTGAGCTTGAGGCATTTGGCTGCGATGGCAAAGAAAGACGCTGAGAGTAGCACTACTCAATGCTCAGTTTAAGACGGAACAAGGCGAGGGAGGCCTTCCTATTTTGATTCAAGATTGACTTTCTAAGTCTTGTATGCCAAGAAGATCGTCCTTGCCAAGACATCTTAAAGACTCACCACGACCCACCACAGCTATCTGGGGACAATTTAAAGCAACCGACAAGAGCAGGCACGTTTTTCTTTGGGCAATCATCCAGCTGTGAGAGTTGGCAGATACTAATGCTGATGGATTTAAATTCCTAGATAGCCAACCGTCATTGTCATGTTAGTAACCACAGCGGACGTCTATAGAATCAGTGTCATTGGAGCAAATGTGAATTACAGCGCATCATCGGAGACAAGTTGACATGCTTGTCTATGATGGATCGAAGACCTGCTAGAGACAACTACTGATAGGATAGTGCAATAAATATACTACACACGAATACCATCAATTAAAGATGAACAAGGCGAATGAGAATACCTGGAAACGGAATTCGGCTTATAGGAAAGATACTGGCGTAGTAAATTTAGTGATGGACTGTTATTTGCGAAACTCAGTCCTCTAAAACGGCAGCACCTTAATGTCTTGATTATCAATGAAAGCACTAATGCTTTTGGTTCAATTGCAAGTAAAGTAGTTGAGAAATATATACGAGATATGCTTGAGACTAACATTTACCAAACTAGGCTTGACCTTGTCAGCAACTCATGAAGCCATGTATTCGTAAATCGCGTAATGCTTTGTAATAGTGTACTTCTCAAGCCAATCAACTAAACCAATGCGATGGACATAAGTGCAATAATCACATCTGAATTCCACGTTAGGCATCAACTCAGGTAACGGGGTTGATGAAGATAACCACAAGCGCGAATCTTGGCCCCGTAAAGTCATACTTTGCTTCACGATTTCAGCATTCAAGTAGCCATCGGTCCGCGCTTATTCCGGTTACGTGTCCTTGCGCTAACATAGTGCTAAGCAAGGCACCTACACGCACAATGTTCCAATACCCACTGAGGTGAACTCCTCTTTAAGCATCTTCCCAGCTATTTGAGGCAATCAAGTCTATCCATCCCAAATCATCAACATTGTGTCTTCAACGAATCAAGATATAAATATGGCAGACAAGGATCCGGAAGCTGACAGATCTAACATTTTCAACATGATTGTCCAAGCAGATCTTGTCGGTTTTAAAGAGGCACTATCTACGGAGCAAGTAGATCTCGAGGCTCGAGATTCAGAAGGCCGAACTGCGCTACACCTTGCTGTTATTGCAGGGACGGCAGAAATTTGTCAACATCTGATTGACCATGGCGCAAATCTGGACAGTTGGACTGGACAAGGTGAAGCAGTAGTGCATCTGGCTGCGAAGAGGGGAGACGTTGATATTCTGCGCACCGTAATGGAATCGGTGTCAACGAAAGATCGGAGCATTCAGAGCGAAGGTCAACCTTCTAGCGATAAAAGAGATCTCAGTGTGCATGTGGATTCTCTGACGAAAAAGTACCGGATGTCACCTCTCTATATTGCTGTCGCACTTGGTATGTTGGGACCATATTTTCATGTTTAGGGTCTTGCTTACTTGTTATATAGCACACGTAACAGCAGCAGAGGCATTGTTGACCACCTACCATGCGAATGCTAACATCACTGCTGGTGAGGACAACGCCCAGCGGGGTACCCGAATTGCTCATGCTCTTGAAGCGGCTATGCAACACCCTCGAGATGTTTGTCGCCCTCTGATAACAATGTTACTTCAGCACGGTGCAAGCCTGCTTGACCCATCTGAGAAGACGGTATCACAGTCGCTCCTCTTGCTAGCTTTGAAACGAGATGAAGATGTACTAGATATATTTGCTGAACTCGACAAGCAAAATTTCATGGCTTCCATCACAAAGTCTGTCTGGTTTGAGATGATGAGCTGCCTTAATACACTGACTCTGGCCATCGAATCTGGGCTGGAGAACACTGCTTTGAAACTTCTCAAATACGGGGCCCCACCGCAGGTTGAGTTCAACTCTTCTTTGGACATCGTTGCTCTCCGCAACCCATTTGGAAAGAACCCTGAGGAAGCGGCCAAAGAAGATTTTTGGCAGCCAATCTTGAAAGCTGCCTCAAAAGAAATGCCGCGACTAATGATCGATTTATTAGATCGTGGAGCAGATCCTAATTCCACATTGACAGACCACCAAGCTCGGTATATGCATCATCATCGCGAGTGCCGCACTGTTCTGGATATTGTCAAGGCGAAATTGATGGAGTTACGTAATTGGAACAAAGACGAGGAAACGCCCGGTTACGATATCAGAGGAACACCAGAGGAAGCAAAACAGATCAAAGGAAAGGAAAATGCGGTATCTCAGCTTATTAAAGAATATGAAGCCGCAGAAGCGAAATTAGTTTCCATGGGAGCTAAGATATCCGACGGGTTGAACTTGCAGGAACCACCAACCCCAGTTTCTATCCGACCTCATAAGAGACTTCAGTTACACGCGCCCAGTTCTTCAGAGGTGGAGACTCAAACACAGAAACACTCGGAAGAGCTCGACTTCAGAAAAATAGAAACACTGGAGGACGGTCATCAAGCTCTGTAAGATGCGTGTAGGTACTTGTTTTTCCAGAATTTGTACTAATGGTCGTTATTTGTTTAGCCTCACAGCATGCAGAGAGGGGAATGCTACACTACTTAAAGCACTCACCCTGGGAAGATGGGGCCTAGACTTCAAATTCCCTCCAATTTTAATATCGGCGGTATCTGGCTATTCCAAAGGTCCATTCCTCACCGCCGTGGAGTCCAAAAACTACGACATAGCCCGTACTGTCGTTCATATTGCTACAGTCCAACAGGCTGACCTTGCAGACAACGAGAGGATTGATCTATACAACGTATTGGCTGATGATCAGCACTCAGTTGAAAGCATCAAAGGCGCCTTAGGAGAGGTCAAGTCCACTGGACCTGCAAAGAAGATCGTCTTTGACAGTGGCAGTTGCTTCGCGGGTGAAAAACAAAAGGACTTGGAGATGCTACGATTCTCAATCGAAATGGAATCTTCGCTTGCGCTTGAACAAAGCGACCTCGACCGCCGCATCGGACATGCATGGGCTCTGGTGGAACATGGTGATTGGCCTGAAGCCTTCGAAGAATATGTCAGAGAAACCGGTGCACCATTCAAGCACGTGGTGAGTCAAGGTAAACTTAAAGGTAAAAGCCAACTTGACAGACTCCACCAGTTGTCGCCTTTGCTTCAAGCAGCCTGGTCAGGGAACCTAGATATGGTACGCTTCTTCCTCAACAAAGATAGGGCAATGGCAGCATACAAGCATTTCGCAGAGCATCACGATTTCACCACTCGTAAGGCTGGCCCTGAGCAATCTCGTGCAGAATTTATAACTGCTGTACAGAAGTGGATGGATAGTCGAGGTATGTATTTGTCACTCTTTTGTTCAACATTATATAGCTGTTTTTGACCATGACATACTAGATAATCTGGTTCTACATTGTGCTATCGTCTCTCGAAACATAGAGCTTGTCAAGTTTGTTTTGTCAGCTCGCCCAGAGTTACTTGAAGTCCAATCTATAGACGGGTGGACACCCCTGTTAACCGCCGCAATCCACCAAAGAATTCAGGCTCTTCTTATCCTGCTTGAAGCGGGAGCTAACCCTTTTGCGACTGATCCCTATGGCCGCAATATGCTTCATCTTCTTCTATTTAGCCCAACCGGAAATTATGTGGCTGAGCCTGAAAAGCTGGCATCCGTACTTCGATCAATGGATAGATCATTATTGCATCAGCTACTAGAGCAACGCTGTAATGAGAGCCCCGGCGGCCAGACACCACTCGCACGTTTGATCTCCAATCGACCCCCACCAGATGCAGTATTCACAGCTTTGTTAGAAATCTCCAATCCGACGCCACTGAAAATGCTAGATGGCGCGGGTTACACTCCCCTCCACATTGTACGTTTCTTTATTTCCTATATATCCTTGACATCAATCCTGCATAACTAACTATGAGATATATTTATTCAGGTAACAAATTCTTCCATGGAAAATCTTATTCGTTCTGTGATTGAAAAGGCACCTCATGTCATGTTCTACGAAGATCCACAAGGGCGAACACCTCTTGACGTTGCTATCGAGAAGCAGCTTCACGGGTTTATAGAGTATTTCATGTCAAGCTATGCACGAACTAAAGAATACCCATCGTCTTCTCCGCTTCTTCATTGGCCGCTATTTGCATTCGGTGAGGATTACTGTGGTCCCATGCATACTAGAGATCCGTATAGAACATGGGAAATCAGTCAGGAACTAGCCAGTTCATCGGGATCTCAGCAATTTCCCCGGAAGCTGGTTTCACAGACTCAACGGGAAGAGATTGCAAAGTGGTATGAATAGAGTCGAAATCGTTGGTGATGTGAAGCATAGCTAACGCAAAAACAGGTCAAAAAACAAAATGATACAAAGAAAGCCTAAAGGAGACCAGCATGATGTCGTGTCCTTGACTGTATATAAGCCCGGAAACTTATGTTGGTAGACGCATAATCATTGAGTGCGCTTCTTAGGCTGTTGGTCTTTGGAATATTTGTTCTTGCAGAGATAGATTACACCGAATCTGTATCCTGCCTCTTATATTCAAGAGTTGCTCATGAGCGCTTTACTCGTATGATGATGAAAGTTCAAAGATACGAGAAGGCCCAGTGTATACGGCGATAGCGCAAATATTATTAGTTCTTTTCCAGTGATTATTCAGAAGATATACGTACTTAGATCACGTATTACACCTAAACAGTATTGTTATATGCTAGATGGGGTATTTAGGACATCAATGACCTTAGAGTCCCATTTTCGTGCAATTCTCTTTGTTTGATGTTCTATCATCACTCAAATTGTAACAAAATCGGATCCAGATCAAGACCCTCCTATTCTTCTACTCCAACACTCATTGATATGGCCTCTATCATGTCCAGTTCCTTCACCCACGCCTCTGCCTCCTTTTTAGCCAGAGGCCAACAGTCCTGACCCAACGGTACTCTTAAACATTTCTGGATTGTTTCATCAGTCGCCACGCCCGAGCCGAGAATCACATCAAGGAGCACACTTGCAGCCTTGTCGACGTTTCCCAATTTCCGATTCTTCATGTCTTTGGTAAGTTCCATCATTTTCCCGGCAGGTGTTTCTGAATACTCTCCAATACCAGCTTCAGGAAACGTCAAGGTGTACAGAAAATTAGTTCTGTAGGCGCCAGGCTCAGCAATGATTATACGTATAGAAAACGGAGCGAGCTCGTTTGCAAGTGCCTCTGAAAGACCTTCGACGGCAAATTTACTGCTGCAATACAGACCCCGGCTCGCAAGACCAATGAAACCTGCGCCACTGGTGATATTGACGATTGTGCCGGATTGGCGAGAGCGAAATGTCGGAAGAACAGCTCGAACGGTTCTCAGCGTGCCATGGAAATTTGTTTCCATTTGCGCGTGGGCTTCCACGTCACTAATCCACGATTAGCCTTCTTTCTTACATTTCAATCGTGAACAGATGGATCAGGATTGCAAACCTTATCTGCTCTACCGGGCCGAGAAGCGCATATCCAGCTGAATTGACCAATATATCAACATTCTCTTTCTCAGCGATATTTCGCACACAATCTTCACAGGATGAGCTAGAAACATCCATCGAAAGCCAGACACCCCCTAACCTTTCAAACTCTGGGTTGGCGGTACGGGCTTTAGTCGTATTACGAGTTGCCCCTATGACTCGGTGACCATGACGAAGGGCTCCAACACTCAAAGCAAGGCCCAAGCCCGAGCTGGCGCCGGTAATGAAGAAGACAGTCATCACTTATTAAATAGTTTTGAAAAGGCCTACACTGACTTTCCGATAATAAGAGATGTGAGAGCAGATGAGTGCTAAGAAACATGCTGCGTTGAACATAAGACAGATAGATCTATTGCAATTAATTTGGCGATGATCTTGCATGGCACTGAGATATATAGGAAAAGGTTGCCGGATTTATGGCTTAAGATCGGTCTAAGAAGGATTGATTAACATGTTGATGGCGAATAGGATCTGCTCCATACCGCAAAAAGTTTGAGATCCGGTATCTCCGACTTCAGCAATATGCATTAAGCTCTACTTCATGATAATCTAGTTATAGCCATCATTTTCGAAGTAGGGGAAAGGATTCAATCATTTGAAAACGGTGTCATCTAGATTCATTGTGCTTGGCGACTAATTTAGCATACTGATCCCTATCCAAACGAAGCAGTGCGTAGCATTGAGTGGTACACAATAACCAACCAACCTTAAATCCGGGTTGGCTTTCGTTTGGGGAGTTTCGCAAAAATGCCTGAATTCTGGCGTCTTTCATTCCTTTAGTATCACTACTTTAAAGAAAGGACGAATCTTGGTAAATATCCGAATATTGTGCTGTACTTACTTGGAGGTTCTTTGAAGTTGCATGGATTGAAGAGTTGTATTCCGATCATTATTGACATATTCCCAGCGGCTGCGTGTCCCAGATCACTTCATGCGATGATTGGGCACCCCTTTGCCTCCGATAAAAGCTCAGCAAAGTTTTATAGTGTAGACAGAAGGATATAATTGTAGCGGTCGACAATCACCGCGTGTATGTTGAATAGGCTTCGCCGGCAGGTAATACATAGCCCAGGGGAAATAATAGGCTCGTCTACTGTACCGCGGCGAAGATATTCGGATCCCAAATACATTTAATGAGAGATCAAACGGCCTTGATTCTGTACACGAGGATGCTGAGAAGGAGATAGAGATAAACATGAAAAAGATCAAAAAAGCAGCAGTGATTGCCCCAATGACGGTAAGAACAAGGCAACACAGATGATTTGGGCTCAAGTAAGAATATCAGCAATTAACGTATATTTAAATAAGATCTGATGCAGAGTAGCCGAATTGCCGCAACAATGAGTATCAAGAGCTGAGGCTTCTAGATCATTATCATTACCACATGGTATTGTCAAGACATATTGGGAAGAGATATTCGCTCTGATTACAGCTGCGGGAGTTTAGCTTAGCATTTAGAGATTACTGATGCTTATCAAATCTTTGGGAGACGTCAATCCTTTTGCTGTCTCACAAACGGTTGAGTCTCGAATTAGCGAAACGTCATAGCCAGAATTGCAGAAGAATTTAAAAGCGCCAAATGTACTCCTTAGCAAGGGCTATCAGGGCTGTTTTGCTACCGCAAGTGCCCAGCTGCTTTCTAAATTTGCAGGCTAGCCTGATATGGAATTTGGACACTCCAACTTTTTTTCCTCTTTGGGAAAGACCTCCCGGATGATGAAGCCAACACTTATCGAAATTCTACTTCCAGGCGCTAAAGAAAGAAGGCTTCCAAATAGTACCCTCGCGAATGGCATTTTGTGCTTAAGCAGCTTTATTACCAAGATAATATTATCCTTTTTGTATTCTATTTCGTTAATAATCTGTGCTGTAGAATGGAGTCTTTTTGTTCCCACCCAAGTAGCCCTTTCTGGAAACGAAGTAAGTGATATTGATATGAGTTTCATGGCTAAGAAATATATATATCTTGACAACTCCCTTACTTTCACTCTTCAATTTCCAAAGTATTAAAAAAGTCACATCACCTTTTACATACATCTCACTTATCATAAAGAAAACGACCAACACTATTACCATTACGACAATAACCCAGCCAACTGATAGCGCATTAAGCTCAAGGGTAGCAACTTCTTCTCCATCTCGAACAACACCAACCATCAACTTGCCATTTTTTCCATCATTTCTACATTGAAAAGTCGACTAGAATGGCCTCTACAGACGCTCTTCTATTTACGCCTCTAAAGCTCGGCAAGATAGAGCTTGGTCACCGTGTTGTACTATCGGCACTTACACGACTCCGTGCCGACAAAAATCATGTTGCCACAGACCTCATGAAGGAGTATTACCTTCAGCGTACCTCGATACCAGGCGGCCTTATTATCGCTGAATCCGCCTCCATCGCTAAGCACCATGGCGGTATGTCATACACTTCAGCTATATGGGGCGAGGAACACATCCAGGGCTGGAAACCCATCGTCGATGCTGTTCACAACAAAGGCGGCTTCATGTATCTTCAGCTTATGGCATTTGGAAGGGCTGCCCAACGTTCAGCTGCTGAAGAAGATGGGTTTAAGATCAAAGCTCCCAGTGCCATTCCTTTTGAGGGAAGTGAAACGCCAGAAGAGATGACGGTCGAAAGCATCAAGAGCACAGTCCAAGATTACGTCCAAGCAGCCAAAAATGCCGTGCGCGCTGGATTCGACGGCGTTGAGCTCTACGCTGCCAATGGCTACCTCCTTGATCAATTCATTCAGGACGTGAGCAACCAGCGGACCGATGAGTATGGCGGCAGCATCGAGAACAGAAATCGCATAGTTGTAGAGATCGTCCAAGCTGTTGCCGATACTGTTGGGGCAGAACGTGTGGGCATCAAGCTAAGCCCATGGTCTGAGTTCCAAGGCATGCGCATGGAAAATCCCATTCCACAGTTCACCGATCTTATTCGACGGATCAACAACATTGGAATTGGCTATCTGAATCTCATTGAGTCTCGGGTCTCAGGAATCGACTACACGGATGGCACAGAGAAGCTCGACTGGGCATGGGCAGTCTGGGACAAGGCGATTATTGCAACAGGAGGCTATCTACCTGAGACGGCACTGGAGCTGGTTGAGAAGCACCCGGGCAGGGATATTGTTGTCGCCTTCGGAAGGCGATATGTCTCGAACCCTGACCTGCCATTCCGTATCCAGAGAGGCCTTGAGCTCAACCCGTATGATCGCAGTTCATTCTACAAAGTGGGCGCTCCTGAGGGACTCATTGACTATCCGTTTAGCAAGGAGTATTTGACGCTGCAGAAAAACTGATGATGGATATAATAGAGTAAAAACGTCCGGTAGCACAATAGAATGGCATTAACCTGCTGATGCTTGGTTGTGATTTTGCAAATCTCTCTCAATTGAATGTGCCAAATAATCTCAACTGCCTTGGGTATCATAAAACAGCAAAAAAAAAAAAAAAAAACGCCTATGCTATGCTCCAAATCCATAATGTCCATCTGAGGATCCAACTTCACAAGCCATCCTAGACTTCGCCGCTGCACCCAGCCCTGCCGGGATAACGACCATGCCTATGGAACTAGCCATATCGTGATGAACGGGCTGCATTTCTTTTCGACTTCGCCGCTGCCTCCGACCCTGTCAGATTAACGACCATGCCAAAAGATGATGCTGCCAATGATTATCACGGTAGCTAGCAGTTGGTTATACCGATGGACTGCCCGCTGCCCCCAGCCCTGCCGGGTTAACGGGTATGCCCTTCAGACAACTGGCACTCGGATATTGGATCCCCATGTATTATTCACCGCCTGATGCTTCTAACTGCGCTTGCCGTGCCATTGTCGCCTAGATACCACAACTCGCACTTGGAGTCTCGCCGGGATGATCGCTTTGACTGCAGAAATTCTTCGACTGTGGGTGTGGGTTTTCCATCTCGTTGCGGACCCTGTTTTTCATCATTCTTCTTGCGTCGTTGCTGTCGGGGCTGTTCTTGATGGGATGATGCCGGACTGCGTCTTTCGATTCGCCGACGCGAACTTCGATTTTTCTTCCTAGGCGAACTGATGGTGGGTGGAGACAATGGTTGTCGCTGCGATACAGGACATTGCATCTGATGAGTGTTATGAGTGCTTGTTTGCTCGATCGCTTCGATGTCGCTGGTGTCTCTTTCTGAAGGCTCCGGGCTGGGCAGTGGATTCCGATACATCGTTTGTGTTTGGCAGCCGCATGCCACCTCTGTCTCTGTGCATGATTTGTAGAATTCTTCCACCAAGGGGTTCTGTTCCTTTTCTTCTTCCGGTGCATATCCAATGCTCGGCCATGGCTCTGGAGATGAGCTTCGTACACAGCTTGTGGCGTCGTTTGAGCTCCGGTCTATTCTGGCCCGCTTCGCACTCGGCTCGTCGTCGGAATCAATGAGTAAATGGTCCGTCCTCTTGCGTTTTTCATGCCGCGAGGGAATCGTTTGCGACGATGGCGGCGATGGCGCTGCGGGAGTCTCGTGTTCTTCGAAATCATGGACCGGGGCTAATTTGGCCTTCTTGCGCGGTAGAGGCGCATCGCTGCTGGATTTTCGTTTGGACATGATGCAAATCAATTAATATGCGCCCACAGATGTTGCGAAATGATGACGACGACTGTCGTGGGCTGTCCAGTGCGGTGAAATTGAGCATCTGTCGGCGTGTGTATAGGAGATGGAGTGAGTGTTGACTTGTGAGGCTGACGATGCCATCTCGGGGATTGCGTCACGTGACGTCGCGACAGCATCACCGTCCGCAACGCGCCCATCCAAGCAGCTGGAAGTATCGCAATCGACTCTCTAAATCCGCTGCGAGATGCGCATTCTTGGGGTCTCTCCTCTGAACACCTTCTTCTCGCTTCTTCATGCCTCTTTTCTCTCACTTTGAGTCAACCAACAGCTCTCGCTGCCTCTCGGTTTCCCTGCTCAGCCGCTCCCTTGTCCAGCCACTCTCATGACACAACCAACGACAGTTTCCGATGGCATACCGATCGATGTGACCAGCGACATCGAGTTTGCAGTCTTCTCTGCCGATAATGAGGCTGCAATTCACCTTTTAGAAACCATCCAATGCAAATCATCGCCCCCGACGCTCAAGAGCGACGAGAACGCAATCGGCTACCAACTATCAATACCTTTGTCATGCGACAGCCCTGACGCCAGACGGTTCAGATGGCGCATTGGCGCTGGTGCATCTCCGGCTTTGGTTGAGAAAGGGTTATGCTGTTGTGAGCCAGACATTCTCCTGTGTCCACCGGGGAGGACGCCCGGCTCTGCGGCAGTTCGGCGATTCATCAAAGACATACACGCCACCATTCATTTCCATCCGCAGTCTGGGGTTTTGCTGCTCAAGACACACTCTAGTCGACCTCTTATATACGAGCAAGGCGGTATGGACAATGATGATTTGATACTGGACATGTTGGGGAGGATCAATACGTGCGTTCTGCGGCGACAACGGAACCTTTTTCGCTTTGGCCAGTACCGCTTTGCTCTTGAATTCATTGTCGGAGACGGTGACTTGAGCAGAGTCAAGGCGCAGCTCGACGAGAATCTCGGTTGCCGCTTCAATGGCTCCCGACCCTCTCAGCTGCTCAATTTTATTCCCGTGCAGCATCCTGAGACGTCTTGGAACGTGTGGCTGCATCAAAAGATTCCAAACACCTCTATAACATCTGGCGTAAACATCCACACTGGACAGCCAGTTGCTGTTGGGGAGCTGCAACTAACAGCTAGATCACGGCAGCACACGCTACGCCGGCTCCAGCTCGCATGTCAGTACAAGGGCAGACCAGACAAGGGCGTTCTCGGCATCATTGACGCCTGGTGCGAACACAAGGCATCGCCGCCATGTCTCTTCAATGAACCTGAACCCCCTCATCGTTGCAGGCGTTTATTCTATTCCATGCCTCTCGCTGAACACCATTTTCTCAACATGCCTTGGAAGAAGATTGACACAAACACTCGTCTTCTTTATTTCCATCAGACTTTAGTAGGGCTAGCTGAATTACATCGGCAAGATGTTACGCATGGAAACATTCTGCCCGAGTCGTTGCTTATATTACCTGGCACTAAGCCCACGCCAATGTCGGATCGCTCTCATCCCAAAAGGGCGGTTATTTCCCTTTGTATGCAGCAATTAGACAAGCCCAATCAGAGCGTCTGTGTTGCCCCAGAGGTTTGGCGAAACCGGAAACCTGTGGATGGAACAAAAGTTGATGTCTGGGCACTCGCTGCTTCTTGGCTCTTCGCTTTCGTGCGGCCACCAAGCGGTATCAAGATAACCAAAGCGTCTTACTCAACCCTGCAAAAGACTCTGGATACGCAGATTGAAAAGGGCTTCATGAAAGAGCCATTTGCAGCCCTTTTACGACAAATGCTAGCCTGGGAACCGCACGATCGACCGAGCACGACCGAGTTGCTTGCAGACACAACCTGGGAATCTGTGCTGGCACACGCGCAGTTGCTTGAAGACAGCAACAAACGAAAGCGAATGGAAAAGATGCAACACTCTCCTAGCCAGGCGAGGAGAGTCAGGTTACTCTCTCCAGGCGTAAATGATTGAAGTTGAGATGAGCTACAGCGAGTTCTCAAAGGACTGTACTGTAATTCCCTTTTCCACGCTAATGCCAAGCAAACACGTTTCAACCCCGTGCTTGGTATCATCAACTCATTACTCACAGCTTGTCATTGTTGGTGGAAAGGCTGGTCGCTGAGTTTGGCCCATTCTGCGACTATTATGCCAGGCTCCGGTCAAGTCGCGCTTTTGCTGTATCTTATCGATGCACTCCATGAGATTTGGGTGCTGATACGCCGCAAAGATTACCTACTTAGACCAACAACAACAGCATAGATCGTGAAGCCAGAGCAAATGATTCAAGTTTGGTTGACATATGTTGGCTACATCCACGCAACGCAGATTTACCTCTCGTACAGTTTACACTGTCGGTATCAATTGCAGGATTACTGATGTATCCATTGTCAATAATTGGCTATTTATCGGATTCTGTCTCAGTCAACGTCTTTTGTTCGAGAGGCCAGACGTTTTCTCTGCTTGTCACATCTGTAGCACGAGTTCAACTTGGAAAATTCCAATCATGATGGTCCATAGGCATATTAGGATGTGCACAATGTCGCCTGTACATTTGAGTATATGGGGAAACACATCATTTTGATTCAATCACCTGGGTTCATGGCACAGCCACACGCGACATGGATGTTCTCCTCATTATTTCCACTACCATGTGGAGTAGTGTCTTGTAGAGCATTGTCGATGAGTCAAATATATTGTGGAGAATAAGTTCTGCTAGGGCTGGTGATGGTATCTGGAAAAGCTAAACTGTGAATTTGATAACACCAAAAGTTTGGTTTATACCACGCCACTGGACGGTATGTCTCTCAATGAGGGGCTTAACGGCGGGGAATCTATAAAAACCTGGGATTTGGTATGGCATTGATTACGAAGAAGAGAAACGAACAAGTACACTTGGGAGAATTGAGAGTCTCCCATGTGACAGAATTGACATTGAAGCTACAAAGGAGCGGGCATCTGTAATTGATCATTATTCGGAAATAACGCATTGTTGAGAAGCATTGTATTCATTTCCACATAAGCTGAGGTGTTGACGGTTTGCAGATAAGCATCCCTGCCCCGTCGTCAGTGAATCATAAGCATTTTGATTAGTTATTACAAGAGAGACGGTTTTATTTGATCTCTTTGATGTTGGCCCCGAGATACTTTGTTTGACATCCCATCAACTGGCACAGAGGTCGAACGGCATCGGTGAGTCCGAGTCTCATTCCCTTTGACGGCAATATCTGAGCCGTTGTGGGCACAATGCAACTCTGCTAACCCCTCACAGCTAGCAGGCTTACTACTCCGCATCTTCCCCCTCAATTGCTCCCAACAACCAGAAGCCAGTCGCGGGCCAGCTTCGGGCACTCTGTACTTTCGTAGGCATTGTATCTCAAGAGCTGCTGACCTCTTCACCGTGTGAAGATAAACGCGGAAATTAATGCCTCTTGAAGTGGTGTGTAATTTTATATCTTCTTTGAACTTGCGCTTTAGGAGGTGGGTAACCGCGCCTCGTTGTCTAGCATCGCTTGATAACGGTAACTTATAATTACTCAGTAGTCAAAAATCCTCAGATGCCCTTTTCACATATATACAAAAATCAACCACTGGCGAAAGTCGATTAAAATCGATTTGCTAGCTGCGAAGCATTCATCTCTTTGTTAGCTGCTACTCTGGCCGGATCTCCTTTCCTGTTGGCGATTCCCAAGTCTGTGTGTTACTTCTTGCTTTTTTAAATACCTTTTTTGTCCCCATTCCATCCAACCGGCACACTATTTATTTAGTTCAACGGACAATAACTTGGATATCATGATTCGCTCTTCCGGGCGTCGCATAGCGGTTAATACGCACCCTCACAGGCAATGGATGACAAAATGTCAAAAACCTTCTCCACGATGGCAGACTACTGCTAAAGTCCCAAAGGCGTCAAAGTCCTCTTCAGGGTCCTCTGCTATCTGGGGAGGTGCCGCAGTAGTTGCCATTGGAGGGGCGGCCTATTGGCTGAACAAGAAACCAACCAACAACAAGACACTTGAAGTCCCCATTGTCAAGCCTGTCACTTTAGAGGTGGAAATTCCGGTAACATCTCCAGTGAAGGCGTTTGATCTCAGATCTGCAAACGAAAAATTGCGAGAACAAGCTCAATCATTCATCTTTGATAGCACAAATGGGGAAAAGGGTCGTGTTGATACTGTACGTGTCGCCAGCAACGACCCAGTAGAGGATGAATGGTCCATTGGGCTTGGCGGTGGAATCCAGGGCGAGAAGACGTTGTACGCTGGGGTTTTTGATGGCCATGCGTGAGTACTATCACCATGCGGGAGAGAATCATGCTAACACTCATCTAAAGCGGTTGGGCTACGTCTAAAGTCCTAAAAGAGGCACTGATTCCGTACGTCTCCTCATCTCTGGGGAAGATAGGGCATAGCAGTTCCGGAGATGTTGTCGATGCCGCAATCCAAAAGGCTTTTACAAATCTTGATGATCGCATCATGTCAAATGCGCAACAGGCTGTCGATGGAGGTTGCGAGCCAGGCTCTGCTGAAGCCATTTCCGCCCTGGCTCCCGCATTTGCAGGGTCCTGCGCCCTGCTTACTATTTATGAGCCCAAATCATCCACCCTGCGCACAGCTGTGACGGGAGATTCGCGGGCTGTTTTGGGATCTTGGTCGGCTGATACCAACGCATTCACGGCTCATGCGTTGAGCAAAGACCAGACTGGCTTCAATGAAGAAGAAGTTAAGCGTCTGAATGCTGAGCACCCTGGCGAAGGTAGCGACATTCTCAGTGCTGAAACCGGAAGACTCATGGGCATTGCTGTAACTAGAGGATTTGGCGACCATCGCTGGAAGTGGACAAATGAGTTCATCAAGCATCTGCAATCCAATTTTTACGGCAGTGCTCCCCGGCCTAAATCGAAGACACCCCCATATATGACCGCCTCCCCAGAGATAACCACCAGGAAAGTTGAATCATCTGACTTTGTGATTCTTGCCTCTGATGGTCTGTGGGATGTTATGTCCAACGATGACGCAGTGGCCTGTGTATCTCGATGGCTGGCAGCTCGTCGGAAAGGGAAGCCGGAGAATGTGGGGGACGCCAAGTTCACCTCATACACGCTCGATGAGGATGGATTCGCGAGTTATAAAGCAACGCCTGAGTACTTTGCTATAGAAGATCTGGATAATGCGGCTGTGTGTTTAGTTAAGAACGCTCTTGGTGGGCGGAGGAGAGGGCTATTTTGCGGAGCCATGACTGTGACTAGTCCTCTAAGTCGATATATGAGGGACGATATCACGGTACAAGTCGTGTTTTTTAAAGACCCTTGAAAGGGCTACATCCAAGGAAACCGAGGAGAAATTTCTTTTTCATCATAGGAGGATTTTAAACATATTTTTAACGATATCAACAGTATCGTATACCAATAGACGCTCTGTCGTTTTACGACTAGCAATCCATTCGGAGAGTCAGAATAACTCATGTAACATGCGTTTTGGAACCTCGAGGTAGGAATAGCAGCATATCCATGACGAGATCCCCAATACACTTAGACAGTGAAAGTAGTCGTCAGGCCACACTCTGAAGGGTGTACCAGCTGACTTCCTACAATAATGTCTCCTCTCCGATCATATCACATACTTCATATACCATTAGTGATGTGCCACAATTACTAGACTGACACTGCAAATCTTACCGGTATAAAAATGTACGGGACCTGTTTCTCGTATCGTGTCCAGGCTTCACCGTACTTCCTCCTGCATCTCATAATATCTCGCCTGGTTCGATGAATAATCATGACCATGAAGAAGACGAAATAAAACCAGGGAAACGGGCTTCTATTAAGAGAGTGTCAGTTGTCAGTTACATCCTTCAGCCCCTTCAAACCCGAGCATAGCTTACTTGAAGCCGGTAATTAGCCCCCAGGCCATAGAAAAGAACATATCAGGAACGTAGTTTGGCTTTCGGATAATGGCAAACCATCCATCAACCAAGATTTGATCGCCTGCGTCAGTTTTGATGGTCTTGGGATTATCCAAAGACTGCCAGGGAACCTGCGGAAAAGTATTGCGCTTCATGAGTTGTCCCTTTTCTTGATGGCGAAATGCGTTCTTTTGGCCGTTGGCACTATCCCACATCCAGTACATGAAAATGTATACCGCACTAAAAAGCGTGAGAGCCAATGGATTCCAGCGGTATTCGGATGGATTGTGGTTAGCTAGGTAAAGAGCACAGTGACAGTAGGTAAATGGTACACCAGCCATGTTCCAAAAGGTGAGGAGGAAGCCGAGTTTCTCAAAGTACATATCCCTGGAACACCGTTAGATAATGCCACCCTTTCTCTGCAGCATTCTCCACCAACTTACCAGCTTGTGATAATCATTTGCTCAGCTTTGGCGCAAGCGTTGGTGTATAGAAAGTGAGCAGCAGCTAGAAATATTACCTCAGAAGAAACGTAGCCGTACGTTTCATACTGACGAGCAGCCACAGAACAGGTAATGAGAAACAGTATGAACCAAGGGATCCTCACTTCATAGAACATTTTGAAGTCCAGGATACCAATGCGAGGATTCAATTCAGCGCCCATGAAAAAGTCGTAGATGGGGTATCCCGTGAGCCTGTGTGTTCGTCCGCGCACAATGGCTTGGAAGTAGACGATGAAGCTGTTGATAAATCCAGACAGGATAGCGACGGTCATGATTGGCCCAAAATCGTCAATCAAAGTGTACAGCGGGAATAGACCAGTAATATGTAACGCGGCAGCAATAACCAACGTCGCATAAAAGCTGGTATATGCAGAGCAGTAATAAGGAAGCCTCTTGCCGCCTTCGTGTCTCAGTGGTCGACCATGGTTAGACACGCCGGGCATATAGCAATACATGACGGCTTCCATAATGAAGAAGATCCAATATATTGCCCAAGCTTTTGCAGTTGGATACGCCCCCAAATATACCAGCTGAGAGAGGTGCTGAGCAAATTCAAGCCACGACTGGTTGCTCTTGGGGTAAGGTAGATTTCCGTCATAATAGGTTGCACCTATCCACATATACCACATTAGCAAGGGAAAGCCTGTCATCAATAAGGCAGCACCAATAGAGCCACCGAATTCGAATTCATCTGATGCGCCATCTGTGAGTTTAGTTGCTATAGCTGATGCCGCCTTCTTCTCTCTCCCACTTAACGAGGACATGGTAGTGAGAGGGACGTTTTTCTGTTTCGCAACCATGATGATGGAAACCAAGTAGGCCAACAGAAAGCATCAAGTCGTGTGTTGTAAAGGTTACTAAATGTAATTGCGGGCGTTCTCTTTGTAATTATAACTTCATAGACCTACCGAGGTTCAAGGATCTAAGGCCACCGCACTTATACTCGTAATTACGAAATCTCTTGGTAGACCGCCCTTAAAATCGTATTCGGATTCGTAAATGTTCGTACATAGGCTCAGCCATCCCGTCTTGGCCGAGATGGGGTACATTCTGCAGTAGAACTTAGGACTGCCACCGGAAAATCTACAGCTAAGTATCAAAGCAGAAATTATCACCCGTCGCCAGTGTCGACCATACGCGTATAGATGCTAGAATCCCTGAGTAGTCGTGACCAATCGGATTCCCTTTTTGGTCTGCTAGCTGCCTGCACTTGAATTGTCTAATGTCACATTCATACAAGTACCTAGATAACAAACGCTTGGCTGCTCGAAGACGACAAAGTCCCTCTAAGTGTGGCGGAGCAAATATGGACTTAAACCCAGAGTCCCAACCCAAGCCAAGCCAACAGGATTCTACCCTTGTATACGTAGTCATCCTTCGTCCAAAACCAATAGCCAGCATACATCAAGTACTTGGGGAGTATACTACCTACTGACGGAGATTGTCTATTTGCTATCGGCTGCTTCTAGTATAAGCATTCGGCTGAGGACTAGATACATGCAGGCTCAATATTGCTTTTTGTCTCCTATCTTGGCTAAATTATTGGCTATTACCCCGTATATAAGCCCACAATTACTGCCATTCTTTTCCCAATCGGTGCTACAATTCTAAAATTGCTCCATCAGAATTGGTATTGACCGATTCAAAAGTTGAATTGTGGTCCATTGGAAGACAAAATGCGGGGGGGGGGGGGGGGGGGGGGGGGGGGGGG